ATGAGTATGGCACCTGTGTTGTACTTTTGACTTACTGCTATATCAGACGCGTACGATTTAATCGGTGATACCAGGTTTCTCGAAATCATTCTCAGTGGTTCGGAATTTTGATTTAAAGTAGCCGACCCCTTGGGAGAAATGTCAGTTGACTTTCTGCTCACCGCTATTAAAGTAGTGCATTTCATTTGCCCTCCTTTTCAACGGGTGTGTTCTGCAATGTTAACAAAAGGCTTATGTGTCAAAATGTTTGTGTAACAAACGCTACGAAAGCTTGGAGCACTCTGTTTAGACAAAGAAATATGCGAACAAGAAGCTACTATCCCGCGAACTCAACAAAATAATGCGCTATGGCTTTTATTTCTCCCCTAAGGCGTTTAACACAGTGGCAGTTTTCGAGGTGCGCTTTGGATTCCAGAAAACGGAACATCACATGAGCTATGTGTCGCACTGGTTTAAACTTTAACCAGCCTACTTTTCGATAGCAGCGCTTTGCCCGCTGGGCCAAACGCAAACGTTCTTTTATTCACACCAGTAGAGGCGCGCACGATAATTGTCATGACGACGGTGGTTGCGACTGCAGGGAAAAAGTTCAGTGTTGTCACAGAGCGTTGAAAGTGTAATTTTAACTAAAAAATAATAATAAAAAATGGCGTGCCCAGTATGACTTGTGGGCACTGCAGAAGCACTACCCAGTGTTTTTTATCAGACGTAAGTATTGCTAAGGTTTTAATAGACCATGTTTCTGAAACATGACGCGAATGTGGAACACTCGCTTCAACGCGGATCTGAGCAATGGCCCCGGTCTGTCAGCCGGGAAAGCGTGACGTCTCGGCAGCGTTGGCGGTACGGCGGGCCGCCCGGGCGGCACATCCAGGACTGCAGGTGGCGGGGGCGGCGTCACACAGCGGTAATGGCGCACATTCGTCACCGAGCAGCGCGGCGGCAGTGTGCGGCTGCCCACTGGACACGGGGTGGCACGCGTGTGCGTGCCTCATGCGGCGCCCGTTACATAGGTTCTGCGTCAGCGCCGGCTGGATCGTCGGCAGGGCGTCAGATACGGTCCCAGCGCGTCACCGGCCGGCAGTACAAGCATGCTCACCGCAAACGCGATGAATAATTCAGGCAATCAGCATGACTGTCCCGTCAATACTAATGAAAGGAACATGTGCAGTTGGCGAGGCGATATTGGTCACTTACAGTCCCCCCCCCTCCCCCCCCCATCCCCACCACCAACACCCACGGCCAGTCCGTCGCACGCTTAGCGTGGTATTTCATCCAACATGAACTTCGTGTGCGCCCATGCAGCCGTCAAAGGTAAGCGTGCTTATGCCTAACAACCATTTTTCAGTTTTTTATTTCTGGAAAACGTTTAAATCATTACGTCGCAACTAGTTTCTTTAGTCTCAAAACATGTAGAACATCGAGAATGTTACCACCTGTAATGTATGGCCTCACATAACGCTGTGGTCCGAAATGCTGCCACACTTCCAAATACGCTTAACGTGCTGCTAAATTCAATGTACAAATAGCTCCTCATAATGTGAACGCTACAGACAAATCTCCGGAAGCAAATTCAGCGTAGAAGGCGAACACCTGGCAAAAAGAAAGAGAAGATCCACAGCCTCTCACACAATTAAAAATGAATTGGTTTGATTGGTCGTAATGTCTTAAACAAGCTAGAATGTGTTGTATCTGCGTAACACGAACGCAAGTAAGGGCATTCTTGCCTTTATATTTGAAAAATTCCAGCAAGACGTCATTAGATGAGGCACGCACCTGGCTCACAGGATTTCTTCCAACCTATTTTCTCTTCGTTTATTTCTATGCTCCCTTTGATAGTTCCGGAACCAGGAAGAGCTCGGAAAGCATTCTGGAATTAAGCTGAGGGAACCGGCAGAAACCAGGGTCCAGCCCTAAAATGAGCCGAAGAACCAAGATTTACCCTGACATTAAACCGAAAGCCAGAGCAAGAACCGGAATCAAGCCTAGCAACCAGCCGAAGGGTACATGAATAACCAGGATCCAGCCTGATGTCAAGCCAAGAGGACCAACAAAAACCAACATCCAGCCTGGAATGCAAATAGGGATTCAACAGAAACCTAGTTTAAGTCTTACGTTATGTCCAGAGATCCAGCAAATGCCAACACTCAGCAAGGAACATGCAGAGATCCAGCAAGAGCCAGGAGGAGCCGTAGGCTTGCCACGAATAAACTGTTGGAGAGAATTTCGCCCAAAATATGAAATCATTGGCTCGGCATATATATATATATATATATATATATATATATATATATATATATATATATATATATATATATATATATATATATATATATATATATATATATATATATATATATATATATGTCTCTCTCTCTCTCTCTCTCTCTCTCTCTCTCTCTCTCTCTCTCTCTCTCTCTCTCTCTCTCTCTCTCTCTCTCTCTCTCTCTCTCTCTCTCTCTCTCTCTCTCTCTCTCTCTCTCTCTCTCTCTCTCTCTCTCTCTCTCCCTCTCTCTCTCTCTCTCTCTCTCTCTCTCTCTCTCTCTCTCTCTCTCTCTCTCTCTCTCTCTCTCTCTCTCTCTCTCTCTCTCTCTCTCTCTCTTCTCTCTCTCTCTCTCTCTCTCTCTCTATCTATCTATATATATATATACATATATATATATATATATATATGTATGCATATATGTATATATATGTATATATATGTATATATATGTACATACACACACACATATATATATATATATATATATATATATATATGTATGCATATATGTATATATATATATGTATATATATGTATAAATATATATATATATATACATATATATGTATATATATATGTACATACATATATATATATATATATATATATATATATCGCTCATAGGGTCCCATCTTAACACTTGGTGCACCCAATAGTACACTACACTTCATCACTGCCTACGATCACGCTCACCAATGAACGTTCACTCTGATCGTGTAGGACTTTAAGTAGACTGAAAAAACCACTGTTGCGTTCTCGCAATAAGGAAAAACATCTTAGAAATATTTGAATAGTCTTGCTCTGGGACGTATTTAGCGAATTCTTTAACAAACACGCTTTAGGATAAACAGAACGCTCTATAACAAGAGTATGGGTAGTATTCTGCTTTACTTCTACGGGGTGAAGATACTTACTTGACCGTTTTGCGAGACATCCTGCCAACCTTACGCCACTCGTTAGGGCAGATCTCCTAACAGGGTACGATGAGCACCCCAACACCGATCAGCATCCAACGGCTCGCGAACAACCATTCCGCACGTGCCCCAACTGAGCAAACGCAATAAAAGGCGAGAATGCTAAGCTAAGTAGCTAAGTGGCTAGCTGGTAGAGGTCGTGGGCTTTAGAAGAGAGCGTTAGGGAATCCTGCACGACGTAGAACCGCTGCAGGGTGAGAGGTGGCGATGAGAGCCCCGACGAATTTCAGAGGAAAAGTGCCGTAAAGATCCTTTGACGTAAAGCAATGACGCCGCCACCATATTTCAACCCAAATAGCTCCTAAATCGATGGTTAATGAGTCCATTTAGCCATTTTATGGGTGAAGTTACACGTTCGCCGCCGTGGTCTGCCACGGGCCTACAGCTTACCGGGAGATGACTGAGCCCCATTCTCCCCGTCGCCAGTCAGATGTCGCACGATGTCCGGACTCCTAGAACCGAGACTTAATCTATCCAGCATCGGAAGATGATGGCAATCCAGCCATGGTAACATCGACCCAACTTCGCGGAACCGAAGATCCCAGCTGCTACAACTGTCAAGGCAATACCAGCGGGCGCCTGACTCATTGCTGGTCAAGCTGCACGTGATATACTTCTGTGTTTGTCGATGACAACAAATGACATCGCGCATCAATAACGTAACAGATCATATGTACAGGCTCGCTTCACTGTGTTGCTACATGCATAAAAGTCTTACCCGTCGTCACGAACTCAGCCTACTGCCTAGGCCATTCTCTCGATGCTAGATGACGCCTAAACAAAAAGGTGTATGGAAATACAGAACGAAAGTCATCAGAACATTAAAAGAGGGAAAGTTTGTCGTTGGTT